AAGTATAGTTTTTTAGAAACTGTATTTAATGTTCAGGAACAGTATTGAGTGTCCTGTAACAGTATTGAGTGTCCTGTAACAGTATTGAGTGTTCTGTAACAGTATGGAGTGTCCTGTAACAGTATTGAGTGTCCTGTAACAGGATTGAGTGTCCTGTAACAGTATTAAGTGTCCTGTGCCAGTATTGAGTGTCCTGTGTCAGTATTGAGTGTCCTGTAACAGTATTGAGTGTCCTGTAACAGTATTGAGTGTCCTGTAACAGTATTGAATGTCCTGTAACAGTAAGAGTGTCCTGTAACAGTATTGAGTGTCCTGTAACAGTATAGAGTGTAATGTGACTGTATAGAGTGTACTGTGACAGTATAGAGTAGAGATGTCAACGTTTTGATTTTTCTAGATTTTAGATTTCGTTACGATAGTGTTCATCAAAAGTATTAACGTTTGAAACGTTAAGTTGCACATTATGAAATTTTATTGCATAGAGTAACGTTACGTAATGAATTTTCTGCACTTGAATATCTTATACAACGTTAAGCGTTAGTAAATGTTGTGAAAAACAGTAATCTCCGTTACGCTTTTGCATTTCCCGTTTCAAAAAACTTTCCCAACGTTGAGTTAAAGCTTATGTAATGAAACCACAATTTTTTAACGTTCCACTTTCATGCAAGGTAAATATTTTCAGAGACCTTACGTTACACTTTTACTTGGTTTAAGATCTAAAAGATGACAAACGTTTTGCTTTAATAAAACGTCATTGGGGCATAGTTCTGTACGTTACAATGCATTTCAGTGCAAAGAATATTTTTTGTTAACGTTACGTTTTATCTTAACTTTTCCAATATAAACTCTTTTAATTACGTTTAGAAATTTTACTAAAGTGCACCTTTTCTTACGTTACGATTTATCGAAACGTTACTGTGAAAACTTTTTTGTTACAATTTTTTACAACTGACAATCAAAACTGTTTATTCGTTTCGTTTCTAAGAAAGATTTGAAAAAATGTTCTATACGTTGCGTTGTAT